CCAAGAGGGGGGGGGTCCAAGAGGCGGGGGGTGCAAATCATGACTGGCGGCATGTGCGCGGCCCAGCCGGGGGGCCAGGGACGTAATGAAATAAGGAGAGGCGCCATGCAATCTGGGGAAATATCATGGCCCCCGCCATGGTATCCGCCCCCCCCCCAGTCCTCACCCCCCTCGTTTCCGCCCCCGAAGCCCGCCCGTAAACATTCCAGTCGCTGCGGCCGGAGCCAGGACAGGAAGAGCGCGCTCCAAGCACACGAGGCCCCGCGCCGGCCAGACCTGCCGGTCAAGCGGACGAACACTCGAGGGTACCCTCCACCAGGGTGCACAAGAGCATCCGGCAACCACGCAGAACCTGAGGCGACCCTCCCCGCACCGACTTCGCTCCTCCTACCTCGCTCCGATCGTCCTCGGTTGGATGGTGTTGCTCCCGCGTCAGCGTTGCTCATCGATGTGTCTGGCCCGAGGTTCAAGAAGCTTAGCTGCCCCGATACGCAACACTTCAACACGTAGCGTATTGATACGGAGCTCAACACGTAGACTGAACACGTACGTTTTGAACACGGACGTTTTGAGCACGGCACGTGTTACGTTTCAAAACGTGCGTACCAGAGCAGCTAAGTCAAGGAGTAAGCAGAAATGTAGGGCGGCGCGTTGCTGAAATCAGGCTCTCGATCGAGACCTCCACTATTCGGGTGTGGCGCAGAGCGTGCGGTGGCTACACGCGTAGGGGAAGAGGGGGCACGTCCTCTTCAAGACAGAGCTCTCGCTGCAAACCTCCATAAACCTGGTGGCTCTGCCCCCTGTGTTACCTTCCAGCCAGATGGTGATGATGGTGCTGATGCTGATGATGATGATGGTGTTGATGATGGTGAGGATGATGACGATGATGCTGATAGTGATGATGATGCTATTGATGAGGATGATGACAATGATGACGATGCCGATGCCGACGACGATGACGATTACGATGATGATGCTGATGATAATGGTGATGCCAGTTATGATGAGGATTAGGATAAGGATGAGGATGAGGGTGATGATGATGACGGTCATGATGATGCTGATGATTGTGGTGCTGGTGATGATGCAGAAGAAGAAGAAGACGATGATGATGATGTTGCTGATGCCGATGCCGATGCCGATGCTGATGATGATGCTGATGATGAAGATGATGATCGCTGATGCTGTGCTGCTGAGCGTGTGTCTGCGCAGCGTGACAGAAAGGCGGTCGGCCCGGCCAGAGGTCCGCGAGCCTGGCTCCAAACTCGCTTGCAGAGCTCTCTCGAGCACAGCACGGGAGAACATCACCCTGAGAACATCATCGACGTCGTCATCATCATCACCACCATCATCATTACCAGCATCAACATCTACATCATCATCATCATCATCACCATCACCTTCACCATCACCATCATCATCATCATCATCATCAGCATCATCATCGTTATCAGCATCAACATCAACATCACCATCATCAGCAGCAGCAGCAGCCTCATCATCATCATCATCATCATCACCATCATCATCATCATCATCATCATCATCATCATCATTATCAGCATCAACATCATCATCATCACCATCATCATTAACAGCATCAACATCATCATCATTATCATCATAAGCATCATCATCATCAGCATCATAAGCATCATCATCAGCATCATCATCATCATTCTCAGCATCAACATCATCATCATCATCGTTATCAGCAGCAGCAGCCTCATCATCATCATCATCATCACCATCATCATCATCATCACCATCATCATCATAAGCATCAGCATCATCATCATCATCATCATCATTTTCATCATCATCCTCATCACCATCATCACCATCATCACCATCATCATCATCATCATCATCATCATCATCATCATCATCATCATCATCATCATCATCATCATCATCATCATCATCATCATCATCATCATCATCATCATCATCATCATCATCATCATCATCATCATCATCATCATCATCATCATCATCATCATCATAAGCATCCTCAGCATCCTCAGCATCATCACCGTCACCATCAGCATCGATGGAAGGCGGCCCATCAGGACCACGGGGCCTCGCCTGGCATGGCAGGGCCGCGGGCGGACGTCCGTCCAGGGGGGCGCTCTTCCCGCTGCGACAGGGCAAAACCTGCAGGGCAACGGGGAGCCCTCAAAAAGCGCACGCGCCCAGCTGCAGTCGGGGCGTTGACCTAAGGAACCCTAAATCTGGAACGGGGCCCCTTTCTCCCATACGTTGAACTTCGATTTCCCGTGGAAAACCTCAGGAAAAGACAAGGCAAACTGCTGAACAAGCAAGGAACACCGAGCCCCTCCCCAACGAAAAGGGTTCCTTCTTCAGGGCCCCGGCTGTATGTGCATGAACACGGCCCCTCGATCCGCGAGACTGGCCACGTGGTAAGAGCATTCGCGCCGTGCGTACTCTCGAAACTGAAGGGGCCCTGGGACACACGAATAAATACACACGAATGAAAGGATTCCCCACCTTTTCTCATGTTTTCTGTGTGTGTTTTTTGTGTCTTCCCCCCCAATCCCCAGATTTTCCTATATATTTTCTTGGGAATCGACAGTTAATTGTGACTGTGGCGTGGATTCAGGTACGTGCACGTCCCTCTTTCGCTCCAGACTGCAGGGAAACAGGGCGAGGGGACGGCGGACGGGAGGCGCAATCGCATGCGGTAGGCTCGCGCGGCGTCGGCGAGCGCAAAGAGCTTGGACACCGCGTCGATCGTTTGAGCTCGAATCGATCGCGGCCCCCATCGTTCAAGGTTGAATTCAGCCGGGTCCAGTGGCGTCACTCAGAGCCCCGAATCATCAGGGGTAACTCGGGTCAGGGCTAACCCGGGTTCGTTTTCCGGGAAGCCGAACCCGAATTACCCCGGACCCGAGTTACCCCGGATAACTCGGGCGTCCAGAGCCCCGAATCATCAGGGGTAACTCGGGTCAGGGGTAACTCGGGTTTCTTTTTCGGGAATCCAAACCCGAGTTACCCCGGACCCGAGTTACCCCGGATAACTCGGGCGCCGAAGTCACCGCGTCCCGCGGTGCTTCCGCGTCGCAGAAGAAAACCTTGAACGCCTTCGCCGGCGTCGCCGGCACGCCAACGCCGCACGAACCGGCCGTGACAGTTGGTGCACTGTGGGTTTACCTCTTGGCCTTCCTCCCCGTCATCCAAGCTGCCCTCCTGGACCCCTCCTGGGGTTTGGGCGCTCTAGCCTTAAGTCGGGCCTGTCCCCCTACAGGGGGATTCTCGACGAAAAATTAAGAATACCCCCAAAATAAACAAAAGATAGTCCAAAAATAGTCTGGGGACTATTTTTGAGCATTTGTTGGCCTCTTTGGTGCATTTTTGGTGTACTCTTCGTCGGAACTCCCCAGACTATGTTTGGATTATTTTCTGATTATTTTTGCGGTATTTTTGATTTTTCGTCGAAAATCCCCCTGTGGGGGGACAGGCCCGACCTAACTCTAGCCATGCTCTCGAGGCGGGCCCAGCCGTGGCGGCGAGGGCGCCAAGAAGGAAGCTCTGAGGGCTCTCCGACCTCGCCATATGTAGGGGGAAAACAAACCTACCTCGCTTTAGACCACCCTCGCTTCCAAGAGATACCAAACGATGCCGAATTGCAGCCTGTACTGGTCAGGCCGCTTGACGAGGAGGCGCGTGGTATGGCTTGGTTTTGCCTGGAAGCGAAAGCGGGGTAGGTAATTCACGCTCTGAATATGCTCCTGTCCCTCCTCCTCCCCCCCCCGCCCTCCTGGCTGTCGAGTTCGAGCAGGGACCGACCGTCCCGGCATTCCTATAGTCCTACCACGACATGTTCTTAGAACCCCCCAAAAAATTCTCTAAGAACCAAAGCAATATTCTTAGAACATAAGCCCGAGGTGTGGAAACAAGACCACATCAACCAAAAAGGTCCTAAGAACATCTCGTGGCAACCACAAAAAGGTTCTTAGAACACTGCTTGGCAGGGCGATAGGCGAGCCAGGACGCGTCGCCACTGCTCGACGAGTGCCGCGCTCAAGGGACAGGGCGGCCCTCGCCCGGGCTGTCAAGGCCCGTGCCTGCCCTCGTGGCTAGCCGCTGCGCTCCCCCGGGCGTCTCTGGAGGGGCGCCCGCGGGGGACCTCGGAGAGACCGCGGCCACCCCCGGCAAGCCTCCGGGGAGGCCCGAGGCCCGGACCCCCGACGCCATGACTCTTCGCCACCGCGTCGGGCCCCCAGAGGTCTCGACCCCTTCCCCAGGGCCGGCAGTTCATGCTGGGTCGGTCTCGACGGCCCCGAGGCCTGGGAAGGGCCCCCGAGAGGCCGAGAACAGCGAAGGGCCTTCCGCCGTGACCTCTTCACGACGCGAGGGCGTCGAGGTGCTCAGGCCCCCTCCTGCGCGCGAGCCGCAGCCCCTGACCCAGACCGAAGGGCAACGAGCTTAAGAGCCTGTGATGGCCGGGCCGGGCCGCCTTCGCGGGCGCGGGCGCGTGCAAGACGACGGCGCTGCACTGCCACGACTCGACGGCCTTCGGGGACGGTGCACGCAGCGCCCGGGAGGAGGAGGAGAAGGAGGAGGAGGCGGAGGCGGAGGCGGAGGCGGAGGCGGAGGCGGAGGCGTCGTCGTCGTCGTCGTCGTCGTCGTCGTCGTCGTCATCGTCGTCGTCGTCGTCGTCGTCGTCGTCGTCGTCGTCGTCGTCGTCGTCGTCGTCGTCGTCGTCGTCGTCGCTCGGGAACGCTCGGTGGGCGGCGGCGGGGCGCGCCGGGCCGAGCTCCACGACGGCCATGGCCGGAGGGCCCTGCGACGCCGCGGGCGCCGCGGGCCCCGCGGCAGGCGCCGCGTCGGCCGAAGGCGTCGCCGTCGCGGGCGCCGCCGCAGGCGCTGCGCGGGCCGCCGCCGCCGCGGCCGCGGCATCGGCCGAGGGCGTCACCGCCGCGGGCGCCGCCGCGGGCGCCGCCGCCGCCGCCGCGGCCGCGGCGGGGGCCGCGCAG